TTGATGGAAAGCAACATTAGAGTAAGACCCAAGCTCTGGTTTATAATCCCGATTCTGCCCTTAACAAGCTGAGTGACTTCAGACAAGTTATTCCTCCTCTCTGGGCCTCAGTTTTCCTCATATTGGATGGTATCTCAATGAACTCTTCAAACCCCAACATTTTATGACCCTTTGATTAGGAAACAGAGCCCTATGAAGCTAATTCCAGCTCCAAGTTCTATGAATCTATGATTCTCTCAGGCAAACTCAGGTGGGAGATCTATATAAAACATAAAAATAACCATAATATAAAATAACATAGATGGAAGTTTCCCCTCTCTACCAGAGTTCATTTTTATACTCTGGTACTCATACTGGGGTAAAGAGTCAAACTTTCTCTGTGTCTCTGTTTCTATCTCTGGTTCTGTCTGTCTCTCTGTCCGCCTCTCTCTGTCTCTCTGTCTCTTTCCATCTCTGTCTCTGTCTCTCTCCATGGCTAACCTTCCAATTATTCCCTCTGCAGTGTAAGGAAGGCCTCTTCCAAAGAAATATTTTGTGCCTTTCCTTCTTTTCAAATCATTAGCAAAAAAAGGAGCCTTTGCCTTCTTCCTCTTCACATTAGAAAAACGTTAGAGAAAAGTCTTCATTGGTAACCAACTCTAAACAATGCCCCAGAGGTCTCATCTCCTTTCCTGGATATTCAGGAGACAGAACACGTTAAAAGTTGATGGGACCATTCCGACTCCAATCATACTCCTCATCCACAGAAAGAAATGTAGATTCTGAATCAGCATAATAACAATACACTTTTATGGAACTGTTAACGTGGAATGAAGTGGGTAGTACAAGTATTATTATCCCATTTTAAGGAAGAGGAAAGAGTGAAGTTAAGTAACTTGCCCTGGGGCTACACAGCTGGCTTGGGACCCAGAATCGGAATTCTGGTCTTCTGACCTCCACTTCAGCGTTCCTTCCCACTCTACCCAAACTTTGCCCCTGGACAGAAGTAGGACTGTGCGGGAACCCTTCAAGAGAAGGGATTTCCTTACATTTCAACTCTCTCTGGGGACAATTATCTGTTTCATAAAACTGATCCGCTTTCCCAACCCTAAGGAATCAGCATCCGTTATCTATACCCTACCTCTCCCATCTGGTACAGGCAAATCTACTTGCTGTCCTGGACCAAGACCACTGCCATACAGTTCTTCCTTATGCATAAATCGAGGCGTCTTACTCCTCTGTTTAAATCTTCCTATGGCTTCCTGGCTGCCTACTAAGTAAAATTCAAACTACTCTGCCTGACAGTCAATGGCCTACACAATCTATGACCACTCTGCTTACATGACTTATCTCGTATAACTGTTTTCCTAGCTTCTGTTCTACTGCCTTATTATTCAGTGCACTTATTATGCTCTCCTCATAACCCACACTGTTCTTCCTTTATACCTTTGCTCACTACCTCTTATGACCAGAATGCCTCCCCTAGCCTGAATTCTGCAGTTGAATTCTCAGCCATCTTTTAAAGCCCTACAGAAAAGATGCATCACTCTTAGTCCTTTCACTCCTCAGATAAAGAATCTGAGGCCCAGAAGGATAGTGACTTATCCAAGGTCACACAGGTGAAAAGTCGATGATGTTTCAGACCCCACACAGCACTTTATTTACATCACTCTGATGTACTTCTTATGTGTTATTTTATATTATGGTTATTTTTATGTTTTATATCGGCACCTAAGAGATGCAGTGTGTAGAGTGTTGGACTAGGAGTCAGGAAGACTTGAGTTCAAATCCTGTCTCACACACTTAACCAGCTGTGTGACTCTGTGCAAGCCATTTAAATTCTCTTGGCCTTATTTTCCTCATTTGTAAAATGGGGATAATAACAGGACCTACGTGACAGGGTTGTTGTAAGAATCAGCCAAGATAACATACACAAAGCTCTTTGCAAACCTTAAAGTTTGCTAAAAGAAACAAAATGCTACCTATTTTAATTACAGTTTTCTGTTGAATTATAAGCTTCATGAGTATAGAGAACTCTTATCTAGGACCTAGGACCATGCTTTCTACACAGCCCCTTGATTTGCTTCTGTTAAACTGAATTGAACTGATAAAGAAGGTGAGAATTGACCTGATGTAAGATGCTCCCACAGTCCCTGCCTTTACCCTCATATTAAGTTATCAAGCTCAAGAATGGGCTAAAAGCAAGGAATGAGCCTCAAGATGTCAGCATCTCCCCTCTGGCTCCTTGAGAGTTTCTGAGAACTACAGGGAACGTTTTGGAGTTTTTGGTTCATGGTTGATCCACTGGTTTTTGATTTTTTGTTTTTTGTTTTTGGTATGTTTTGATGAGATTATTAAGATAAGTGCAGAACAACAGCTGGGAACAAAGCTATGACACCTTTAGCCACCCACTCTTCTAGAATTCCACCATACCTGCTGGGCGCTCTCCCACCATGGGGCCTGGATTGACCAATTGACCATTTAATATTCATAAGACACCTGGGCTGGAGCAATTTTCAAAGGCTGACAGCCACAGATCAGGAATCAGCCTAAACACAACACTCCTGCACCTTTTGGCATGACTTAAAGGTGCAAATGTTGGCACTGAGAGGCACCTTTTCTGGATAATTACTTGCAAAGAAAGAAACTGAATACTCCTTTGGAGGGAGCTTACCTTCAGTACAGAGAAAACGGGAAAGTTGGATGTAGCAAAAAAGAGAGAGAAAGAGGAGAGCAGCGTGAGCCTTTCATTGTAGGATGAGTACCAGACTTGGGGTGAAAAGAACATTAGGCTTTCTGAAAACAATTTTCTCTCTTCCTGTCTTTCACTAATTAAATAAGATGAATGATATTGAGCCAGGACTAGGAGTGGGGAGGGTAGAGAAAAGGAAAAAGTGAGTGCTTATGAAAGTTTAAGTTTCCTTTCATGTCCCATGGCCAGGAATTCTCTTCCTTCACATTATCTCTAAATCCTAAATCTATGCCCTCTACACACAGCCCTACCTTTTTAAAATAGGTGGGCCCTGGTTTTTGAGTCCTGCTCCTTCTCTACATTCCAGGCCCATGCCCACTTACAGGCTCTTCTTCTCCACCATTATTTCCATAACATCACAGGATAACTCCAAAACCAACGACTACATTTCAACCATCTCTAGGGAAAAATTATCTGTTTATATAACTGATCCATTTTCCCAACCCTAAGGAATCAGCATCCATATCTATACCTATGTACCATCTGGTAGAGCCAAATCTATGCCCTGTCCTGGGCCAAGATCACTGCCATACATAATCCTCTTACGTACATTTAGGCATCTCATTTCTCTGCTCAAAACCCTTCTACAGCTTCCTGTTGCCTGTAGAGTAAAATTCCAACTTTTTATGACTGTAACAATAATAACAGCAACAGTAATAATAGCTAGGAATGAAATAGTGCTTTAAGGTTTTGCAGAGTTCCTTACATATGTTATCTTTATTGATTCTCACAATAACCCTGTTAGATAGGTATTATTATCCCCATTTTACAGATGAGGAAAATGTGGCTGAGCAGGATTAAGTGATTTGCCCAGGGTCACACAGTTAGCGTGGAATTAAATTGAAGCCTTCCTAATGCCAAGTCCAACAGTCTATCCACTGTATTATCTAGCTACCACAATATCTCTAAATCCAAGAAGTTTATAAATAGTCATGTGCCTGAAACATTTGAAGAGTTTGGAGGTAGGGGGATACACTGAGTGACTTGTCTAAATCCCTCCATTCCCTATAGGGATTCTATAAAAGTGAGAGCCAAAAGAGACTAGAGCTGCTTCTATGAGTGAAACAGAACTCCCCCAAGGACTCAGTTTGCAAACACTTTTCTCAGGATTTCTACTGGCTCTCTCACCAAATTTGGATGGAGTTGGCTGTGAAACATTGAGAATTTCTCAGCTTTGTGTTAAGGCTATGCCAAGCCTGCCAAAGCCTACTTCTCAACATTTCAAAATTAAATCATTCTTCTCCAGTAAACCTTTTTCTTTCTATACATGTAGGTCAGTGTTTAAGAAACAGATTGGCTGGAACTATGACCACCCCATAGGTAAGAGTTTTTATCCCACCTGTCCTTCTCTAGAATCACAGGCACTCAAGCTAGAAGAAACAGTGGAGGACACTTAGTCTAACATATCATTTTACAGAAGAGGAAACTGGGTCCAACAGGGGTCATGGGATCTTGGATTTAGAAATGGAAAGGGCATTTGGGGTATTTGAGTTCAACCGCCTCATTTTATTAATGAGGAAACTTGGACTCAGAGATGTTAGGTCACCCAACTAATAAATGTATGAGGCAGAATTCAAATCCAATCCAGCACAAACTGCAACTGGCACTATCTATTACGCTGCTTGTGACTGAGCCAAGGTCTTCTAGCAAGGTAGGGACAACTGGACTTAATAGAATTTCTAGTGCAGCATGACTGGGCCAGCCTCCGCTTTTACATTTCCCTGGATTTCACTTCATTTCTTGTCAATGATCTGAGAGGTTCCGTTGGCTTGGATTTGTTTTCTCAAGTGATTGACCCAGTCAAAAAAGAATTTTCTCTAAAATTGCTCCTAATATGGCCTGGAGTTTGCTGCTATTACAATTTTAACATCATTTTTGTTGTTGTTTTTAATCTCTTTTTCCTGCTTACTTAATATAAATACAGAAGAAATTTTAGGACATTATTTTTATTTTTTTTACCATCACAAGTATTTTATTGGCCATTTACTCATACAAGCTCAGAATTCACAGAGGTCATGATTTAGTTGAAGAGTCCCACCTGTGTTTCAATTTCCTCAATTGCACTAGAGGAACATAAAAGGATCCCTAGGGCTCTGTATGATGGGAGAAGCTTGGCGTCCGCAGGGTATCAGACAGCCCCAGGCTTGCCAAAAACAAAGGGAATTCAAGCCTACAAAAGTAGCAGCTGTTTAAAAAGACTGAGTGTTCTGTGGCAGGAATAAAAGAGGGAGACCCAACAGCAATCTGTTGTACAGACCGTGCATGGAAAAGGGGCCACCCAAAGACAACGTCAGCTGAATGAGGGGCTCAGAGACATAATGAGGTCCAACTCCTCACCCAGGGTCAGTCTGAGACAATCCTTTGTATAGTCTTCGCAGGATATTAACTTGTCTGTCTAATGTGTTTCTAGCCCCAGGGAGTCTTAGAGGGTGTGACCCTCCTCCTCTGCCCTCCTCCCACCCTGGAGGGGCTTCCAGCTACCTATCTATATAAGCAAACCCCCAAACTCTGTCTCCTTATACAGGCAGCTGAGCCAGAAGCATCTTTCCAGGCAACAGCTTGTGGATAACTTCTGCCCCTGCCTTGGTTCAGCAGCTCTTTACCTAGTGTAGGACGGTTGGACAGCATGAGGTTCCACGCACTGACCTGGGCAATGTGGGCACTGCTCCTTGCCAGCATCAGAGCAATGCAGATGGAGGAGAAATTCCAGGAGAGCCTGTTGAGGCAGCTGCAACTCAACGAGATCCCTGTCCTGGAGAAGGCAGATGTGGAGCACCTGGTCATCCCGGATCATGTGAGGACCAAATATGTGTCTCTGATGAAGCGCAGCGCTGAGGAGCCTTCGCCCCGGGGAAAGAGGCACAGCCAGACCATTGCAGGTAACAGCCCTCTCCAAAGTCTTGGCCTTGTTCCTTGTGCTGGGGCTTTAACTCACCCTCACAACAGAGCTAGGTTTGGTGGATTTTTTTTTAAACCAGACAGATACACCAGGTACAGTAACATATACTTCTGCTATTCAAGGGATGATTATTCAGGGTGAATGATTTTAGCCTCTGTAAAATTGCTTTATTTCACTTTAGTGGTATTCATTCCTGTTATTTGTTAGTAAATGCTTAAGAAATAAATCCAACTTCAGTCTCACGTGACAAAGGATTGCCCCTATACCTAGGGGAGGAGAAGGGGTGGGAGTCAGGAGTCAGGTAGGGACTGATAGCAGAAGTAGAGACAGAAGGCACCTTTACTCTAGCATTTCTCAGTCAAGGTCCATTAAGAAAAAGTAAAGAAAATCTCTGTTAAGACATGGCATGGCTCCCACCTGGAGTATTTCATTACATGTGAACCATTTTCTCTTTCTCTGAGTAAAGTTTTGTTGCTCACTGGCACCCCCAAATAAGAGTAAAGACCAGAAAAAAAATTAGCTAAGAAATTATTTTCTGAAGGAGAGTAGTGTGAAATAAAATGAGGTTTGAGGTTATCAATGGTTTAAAATTATTTAGGATCTCCTTGTCCCTATGCTCATCACCTTGAAATTACTAAAAAAAAAAAAAATTCAATTAAGGCTATATTTCTATTTTAAATATTATAAATAAGTAGCTTCCTCCATGAATGCAAACTATGCCTCTTTCCAGACTCTAGGCCTTTTCTGAGGGAGGTGAAATCAAACTGACTATGGGATTTGTGTTACACAGAAATCATGGGCAGATTCTTCTCTGACGCCTCCAACCAGCTTCTGGTCTTCAGCATGAAGGACCGGCTTCCCCCCAACAGGGAGCTGGTCCAGGCTGTGCTGAGGCTCTTCCAGAAGCCATCTTCGAAGGGAGTGATCAGGAAACAGCATAAAATGTTCCCCTTCCACTCCTACGCCAGTGTGACCATCTACTGGGTGCAGGTCAGAGAAGATGGCACCAACCGGACATACGTGATTGATTCCAGGTAGGAAAGGATCTAGGAAGAGAATACCAGTCCCATAATCCTCAGCTTCTGCCCAAGAAAGGGGAAGGGGAAGAGGGACTAATGTAAGGGGCATTATAAATATTAATGGGAGAGAAAGGGCCAGTTTCATCCCTGCAAAGAGCCCAGAACCTCACAAATAGTGTAAACCAGAGGCTTCTGGGTTATTCGCTGAGTCTCTGAACTGTACAAACCTTCAGGTACCTTCCCTATCTCTAGCCTCCTCTGCATCTGTTGGTCACCTCTTTCCCTTGTTGCTCAGAGGATTTAGATGCAAGATTGGCCTACCCTGGGTGTTTTCTCATTGTCTTTCTCTCCCCTCAGACGAGTATCTACGCAGGAAACCGGCTGGATAACCTTTGATGTGAGCCAAGCTGTGAATTACTGGCAGCAGGAGGGCAAGGTCAACCAGCCTCTGGTCCTGGAGGTCTCTATCCACAGGGAGAACATAGGCCCGATGTCTTCCAATGCACACAAATTCATCCACTTCTCCTCCCAGAATCCTGTTGATGGAGAGTTGCACGCTCCCCAGCTGCAGCTGCACACACTGGACATGGAGGAATATGGGTATGAGCAGGGGAATGGGCTTGAGGGAATTTCCAGAGGGCAATCCTTTGAGAATGAACTCCATCCTTGTTATGGGGGCCTGTAACTATCTGTTAGGATTATCCTATATAAGAATGTAATAAATCAGGGATCGGGGAAAACTGAATCCCAAGCTCTCAAGGACAGTCTGTTCTGGTGTCTTTAACTTTGCTGTTAAAGTTGTACATGACTTGGATGGAGGGTAGTGAAATCCTCACTTCTTTGGCATGTATGACCTTTTAGTATATATAAACACCTAGCTCAATCTTCTTCTGATCTCAGTGCAGCGCTCTCATCTTGCTTTTTCTTCTTTCACCCACATAGCGCGCACGGCAACTGCGACCCTGACATCCCATTGTCTCGGGGTACCCGATGCTGCCGGCGTGAGACATACATTAACCTTCAGGAGTTCAAGTGGACCGAGAACTGGATCTTGGACCCACCTGGCTTCAAAGCCTACGACTGTGTGGGGAGCTGCCAGCAACTGAAGAAGGAGCACCTGAACTTCAGGTGGCCTTTTGCCACACAAAGGAAATGCCACGTCACAAGCACTGCCCCTCTGCCTCTGATTGTTGCTGTTAAGGAAGGAGACAAGATCGTGACTAAGGTGGTCAACCTTTATAACATGAAGGTGATGCAATGTAGCTGTTCCTCAGAAGGAATGCCAGTCATGAAGAAATTGAAGCCATAGACACAGAACCCTAGCGTGCTTCTGAAAAACGTGGCGTGTACAGAGGGATCTTGCAGGCTATGTAACTCAGGTATGGGGAGTTAGGAGTGGAAAGTAACTTTTTCTTTAGCAAGTCATTTCCTTTACCTGGTTAGCCAGCCCTGTTTTCCCTAGGAAGTCAAGAGAATTCATCATGAGTTCAGGAGACAGGCTTCCTGGCTATGGAGAGGCCTGAACTTCTTCTGTGTCCTTTTCTTCTTCCTTTTTTTTTTCTGCTTCCAATAGTTGCTGTGAACTACCTGTTTTCTAAGCACTTTCCTGTATAAATACTGTCACTGTAAAGTCTTTGATGTTAGATTTGGAAAGGAGAAATTCTAACCAACTCATTATAGCTTTCACTGTCTGCTACCTCATTCTTCCTCTGCTACACTCTGTGGTTCTCAGGCAAAATCCCAGCAAAGTCTTATTTTGGAAAGAACTATCTCATTTCTGATCATCAGAGCTCTACCATGAAGCCTGCAGAGACAGATTTTTGACTCTGGGGTTCTGACCAGGAGAAAATGTGCATTCTGTTGTGTCCCTTACATAGTAATAATGCCTAACCCAGCTAATAAAATTTTTTTTGAAAAGTGGATGCTATTTTATTCTGTACCTTTGCTCAGTTAAATTCAACAAACATTTATTAGATGCCTGTATACAAGTCAATATGCCCAGATACCTAAAACCCTGATACCCTGCAAGGAGGAGGTGAGAGAGGCATTATGTGAGGAGGGGAAGATTATGGGCATAGGGATGAGAAATAGGGGCAATAATAACTTAGCAAATAAGCTATCAGATTGGAAATCTGTAACTTGAGTTCTTATCCTTGCTTTGTGACTAAGTAGCTGTGTTATACCAGGTTAACATTTCTAGGACTTAGTTGCTTTGTGTGTAAAATGAGGCCAGTTACCACTTATGGAAACCAATAACTTACATAGGCCTCAGTTCCCTCATCTGAAAAATCAGAATAGATTAAATGATCTCTAAGATCTTTCATTTCCACCTTTACTAATAAAGAGTACTTAATCGATGTCTTAATTCATTATCCTATGAATAGTTGAGTATATTAACATTATGGTAAAGCTGAAGAATTGGAAGAAATGATTTGATCAAGATCTCAGTTTTAACAGGAGAGAAACTGAACTGGGATACAGATTAAATAGAGATGCAAATTTAGTTTTTGTCTCAGGGTCTTCAATAATGAAGGCAAGAAAACTGATGAAACTACCCAGATAAGCATTCACAGTCCTACTGATTTCCAGTTTACAAGGTGTTTTTCCTCCATGACTCTGTGAGGCTGAAAATGCATGCAACTGTTATTCTGAGATGAAGAACTGAGGATCAGAGAGTAATTTATCTATTTAAAATGACTTGTTTAAGGTCATATAATTTTACTGTCACAGCTGGGGCTAAAACTCGTGTTTTCTGAATCCAAATGCAATTGTCTTTCCATTACCTTATTCATAGACATTGAAGAAAGTGTTGTTTCCTCTATATGAAACTAAGAGTGACAATGTTACTTCAATTATCATAACCTCAAGGAAGGAGGGCATATCTTCCACAAGGGTGGTTATTTCCCTCCCCTAACAACAGAGCCTGGTAAGGAGTGAGAATAAACAGAGAGTTAAATTGCAGTTATAATTGTGCTGTGTAGAATGATTGTTGTCATCTGAAAAATGTAGCGCCACTAATCTCACTATGATAACCCTTGGGATCTTAGGATTTAGAGGAAGAAGTGACCTTAGAGGTCAGCCAATCTATTTCCTTCCTCTTCTTATGAGGAAAATGAGGGGCAGAAAGAGTAGGTGATTTTCCCAACATCACCTACTTAAGTAAATGGCAGAAGTGGTATTTGAACCCTACCCTCTCAATCCCACACTCTTACTGTACCGTCTACCTCATCTCATTGTAGTACCAGCTGCCCCACTGGAGATCCAGCTGGCCAGTTCCTGTTGGGCAATGCTGCTCCTCTTTTCACTTCTCTCCCTTCCCCTCTCCTCTCCTCCTCCCTCTCCCTCACTCCACATAGGGTATCATACCCTTACTTTCACGTGCTCTGCCCAAAGCAACGTAAATTTTGATGCAAGATATCTTTGGGTTTGTAGGCTAGATTTCTTTCTTGAGGAAACCCAATTTACTCTGGCTGTCATTGATTGGCCAACAATAGGTCCCAGCCCAAGCCCCACTTGCTGATCATTGTTTGGGCCCCAGTTGGCTCAAAGTAAATGTAAATAGCAATTGTGTCTGTTTTGGCCAGAAATCCTGAGGGTCTTCACCTCCCAGATTAATTTTTTTTTTGACTAGGTAAAAGAGGCCATTCTTTGGCTCATTTCTTACCTAGCCTTAATCACTGAATGGGTGTTGCCTCAGTCAAACTGAGATCTGGGAAAGACCTTACCTTAAAAAGGCCAAGGTCTTCCACTTTATTGGGGGTTATCTCCAGTTGTCCTGATTTATATCTTGCCACTGAACCCAGATGGCACAGGAGGAGAAAATGAGGCTGGTGACTTTGCAAGGTCCTCCCTCACATAAATACAATTTACTTGCAAGTCATGGCATCATCTTCCTGATGTCATGGTACTCTTCAAGAAGGAAGGACAAACAACAATAACAACAACACCTTCATCTCTTTATCTGCAAGTCAAGATTATCACATCTTTCTTACACACGGACAGAGCTCAAGGAATAGAGTCCTAAGCTGGCAGCTTTGGATTCCACTTGCTTTGCCGTTTTAAGAGGAAACCACCCCTCCTTCCTTTTCCTTCTTCCTGAGATCACAGGAGGAGGATGTCTGGCTGGGACATTCTTTGAGCTCCTGAGAAAGCTAGCAGAGCTGGTAGAAAGTATTCACAGTCCTTACAGCAAAGGGAACCCGCACCCAGAACCCCGGGCTGTGATCTCTCTGTTTTTCTCTCTCTAGCTTGAACAGTACAAGAAAGCCTGTCTTTCTGTCCCTTGAGAGGAGATTTGCTAAGTGTGAAAGTGGATAAATGTATCACAAACAATTAGGTGTGCAAGTGACCTCACAGGAAGAGAGGGATCCGAGTGTGTGTGTGTGTGTGTGTGTGTGTGTGTGTGTGTGAGTGAAGAGAAAAGAAGAAAAATAGTTGGAAAAAATCTAACACACACCACATCATTACTGAAATCCTTAGACTAAAGAGTAATCAAGACATTTTACACTTTTGTGTGTGTGTGTGTGTGTTTTGGTTTTTTTGGCTAGGCAGTGAGGGTTAAGTGACTTGCCCAGGGTCACACAGCTAGTAAGTGTCAAGTGTCTGAGGCCAGATTTGAACTCAGGTCCTCCTGATTCCAGGGTCGGTGCTCTATCCATTATGCCACCCAACTGCCCCTATTTTACAGTTTCTTCCTCAGAACACTTCAGCAATTTGCAAGACTCAACAGTTTATAGACCCTTATGTCTTATTAATGAAGTTATCTTATATTATGTTCTCAAAAGTTCATAGCTGCACAGAGTTGTAGCTAATAATAGTTGATATTCGTGTGTTTACAAAACATTTTATATACCCTATCCAACTGAGCCTCATGATGACAATACTATATGTGGTAATTATATTATCTTCATTTTACATGTAAGCAAGTGCCCTGCCCATGGTTAAATAGCTAATAAGTGTCAGAGAAGGATTTGAACCTACTGCTTTCTAATTCCAAGTCCAACACTCTATCGACTACATTGAATTGTTTCTCAATAACAGAAATGAACTTTAAAAGCCAGACAAACTTATCTGCTCACCAGTATTGTAGCAGCTGATAGTTGGTTTGGGGTCTTGGACCCTAGTGTTGAGCTCAATGGCATGCCAGGCTTCAGCACTGCAGACAGTATGTATGGTTCTCATTTCTCTAAATATCAGCTTTTCTTTTTGCCTAAAAAACAGCAAAGCCCTGAGATATAAATACTTGCAAAGCTTTTCTCCTTGTCCTCTCTGTTTTGGCCCTTTTATTCTGCTTCCTTAAAGAATCAGCCTATCTCTCCACTTTGTTCTGGATGCAGCCCAAAGTAGAAAGAGCACTCATCTTAGGATCACCAAAGCTGGTTTCAGTTACTAGCTCTTCTGTTCAGTAGTTATGGAACACTGGGCAAAGTATTTCATTCCTTGTAACCTCACTTCTCTCATCTATAAACTGAGGAGAATAATACATTCGCTACCTACTTCACAAAGTTACTGTGAGTGAAGCTCTTTTTTTTTTTACTTATTATTTTTTAACACTTGTTTTTAAAACTTTGAGTTCCAAATTCTCTCCCTTTCTCCCTCCCCACCCCACTCATTAAGAAGGCAAGCAATTCCATGTAGATTATATATGTGTAGTCATGCAAAACATATCCACAATAGTCATGTTGTGAAAGAAAATATAGACAAAAAACTCCAGAAAAATAAAGTGAAAAAACAAAACAAAATAAAAGTTTCCTCAATCGGTGTTCAGACACCATCAGTTCTCTCTCTGGGGAAGGATAGCATTTTTTTTATCATCAGTCCTTCAGAGTTGTCATGGATCATTGTACTGCTGAGAATAGCTAAGTCATTCACAGCTGATCATCTTACAGTACTGCTGTTACTTTGTACCCAGTACATTTCACTTTGCATCAATGCATGTAAGTCTTTCCAGGTTTTTCTGAGAGCATACCACTTATCATTTGTTATAGTACAATAGTATTCCATCATAATTACATACCACAGCTTATTCAGCTATTCCCCAATTGACGGGCATCCCCTCAATTTCTAATTCTGAGTAAAGCCCTTTGTAAAACCTTAAGGTAACATTACATTGATGAGTGATATTTTTACTATAATCTATAAAGTATTGGAAGAGACAAAGTTTTAGTCATTATTCTGCTCAAAAGCTGAGAAATAATTTTTATTGCAAGCACCTCTGACAAAAACCTCATTTCTCAAATATATAGAGAACTGAGTCAATTTTATAAGATTACTAATCATTCCCTAATTGATAAATGGTCAAAGGTTATGAATTGGCAGTTTTCAGATGAAGAAATCAAAACTATCTATAGCCATATGGAAAAATGATCTAAATCACTATTGAATAGAGAAATGCAAATTAAAACAACTCTGAGGTACCACCTCACAACGATCAGATTGGCTAATACAACAGAAAAGGATGCTGGATGGGATATGGAAAAATTGAGACACTAATGAACTGTTGTGGAGTTGTGAGCTGATCTAGCCATTCTGGAGAGAAATTTGGAGCTATGCCTAAAGGGCTATAAAACTGCATACCCTTTGATCCAGCAATACCACTACTAGGTCTGTATCCCAATGAGATTAAAAGAAAGAAAAGGGAAAAGGACCTATTTGCACAAAAATATTTATAGTAGCTTTTTTGTGGTGGCAAAGAATTGGAAGTTGAGGGGATGCCCATCAATTGGGGAATGGCTGAACAAGTTATGATGTATGAATGAAACGGAATACTATTGTGCTATAAGAAATGACTAGCAGAATGATTTCAGAAAAATCTGGAAAGACTTACATGAACTGATGCAAAGTGAAGTGAGCAGAACCAGGAGAACATTGTACACAGTAACAGCCACATTGTATAATGACCACATCAAGGCTAGC